AGGTTATTCATTTCTTTGGCGACTTCTGCAAAACACACGTTGTTTCCTTCAATATTTTTAATTAATCTCCAATGATTCATTTGAAAAAACTTGTTTAATAATTAACGGGCATTTTTCTGCTGACAAAAAAATAAGATTTGAATGGTGCATATAAATTTAAAATCCTTTCTACTGCAGGAAGGAGGGCTAACTATCTTGTTTTGCTGTATCCAAGAAGTTTTTTATATTCTGTGCCTGGCTTTTCACAAAATTTTTGTAATGTGTGTACCCTCACAGTATAGATATAAAAAAATGGGTAAATTTTCATAACTATGCTCTCTATATCAATAGGTAATAGATCAGCAGTAGTCTGAAAATCATTATGAACACATACTTTGATATGAACGATATGCGCACCGCAACCAACACCTATAATATTTTGCGGCAATCGCTCATTTAGCTTCGTAAAAACGTTGTCCACCAAAATTCGTATTTGCATTGTCAGCACAAAAAGCAATAATTGTTTTTCTAAATCGTTGTTATTAATCACTTTCAATAGAATATCTGCAATTATTTCTGAGGTTTCTCCTGGCATGTCTACAAAATCTAATAACCCCAGTTAAACACCTGATTTAATGTGGAAGTATCTAACTACTACTGGAAATAACCATACGTCCCTGTGATTTGATGCATCAGTGAAAACAGTCAAAAAATTAGTATTTTCTAAATTACTTTTAAGTTCACTTATTGCCAGTGGAGCTATAAGTTTTTTGACTCTTCAGCTTTTGTTCTTTTTACACGTGAATTTCTTTTCAAACAAGCGTTGTATTATTCCGGAAGTAAAGTCCATAGACCTAAAACTCTGATTGTGCTTGACAGTATGATAACTAAATAAGGCTTCAGAAGCTGCAATTTTTTTTTCGAACATCCAAACTCGCTTTTTTTAAAATAATACATCATTTTAGCAGAAGATCTTAAAAACTGCTTATGTTTTTCGCTATCAAGATGACGCTTTATGTTGTACTTTCCCCCGTTTGCAATTGAAAACTGAACATTGCATTGTTCGCAATGCACTGTAGTATCTACTAATAAATAAAAACTCTTTTTGCAGATATTCACTGAATATACATGATCATTTAGTAGCCATAATTTTACTTAGGTACCCTAAAAGTTTCAAATAAATCAAAGAATTAGTGTGATATGTATTTAAAACATTTCTTACCAACCCTTACTTTAAAAAACTCGACGAAGATCCCGAAAATGCATACACAGAATACGTCAGGCACCTACGCATGTGCGTGTATGACTGAGAGTGGGTAAGGGTGGATGATGGGGATGGATCTTAGAATATATATAGTCAGGGAAGGAGGAATCCTAAACGACCTTGGAATCGCGATGGTATCTAATTTTGACAGTGAACTAGAAGAATATGGCGACAAGTGTTTTCGGTCTACCAGTGACGTACTTCATAAAGGGGCGTAGAAAAGAAAATAATAAATTCTCATTTGCATATTATCTAAATTTACCGATTTCTCTCATTTTAACGAATTGCTATTTTCTTGCGAGAAGTTTGCTTTTTTTATTATTCTTCATTATGTGAATAAATTTTACTTTAAAATTGCATGTTGGGTGGAATAAATATAGGAAAATGTTTTTGGGATAATTTATAGAGGGATTTCTTTAGAAAAATCAAAGCAATAATGTATTAAAAAAATATATTGACTATTTTACGTATTTATTATGACATTGTCTTTATTAATCTACATTTTACAAATTATTAAGGTTTGAAAAATAAATATGTTTTGTAGATATGCGTTAAAAAAATTAAATATTCTATACTTATATTTAGGTCAAACACCGCTGTGATATTTCTTTCTTAGATGTTTTTGTTGGAGTACATATAAAACTTCCTAATATCAAAGAGAATTTCTGATCATTTTATTACATAATATTATTAGTAATATTTTTTGCAGGACAATTTTGCATAAGCAGCTAAAACACCTTTCCAAGAAAGGATCCTATAACGTAATAATGATTCTATGAGTGCAAAATAGATTATTTTTAAATGTACATTCCACACATTATTTGTATGCTTAGTCCAGTTATGATGAGAGTCAATTTGTACTCTAAGGTATTTGATATCATTTGTAATACTTATATGAAACTACTGAACGTGACCTTTTATTGTTTCTATAAGAAGAGACCATCTTTTTGTGACTATATAATGGAACAACATAGTTAGTTTTATCAAAGGCTTGTAAGTTTTCATAATTAAACCATTCGAAAAATTTTATAAGATCTGTTTCTATTAATAATTGTAATCAATTCCAGTTCTCTGCATTTTATAGAATAACTGTGTCGTCTGAAAAACTTACAATATTTCCATCTGTATTTAAACGACAAATTATTTAAAATAAAATTAAACAAGATAGGACCTAAGACAGTATCTTGAAGCATGCGATATGCTACTTATTTCCTTACTTGAAATATTATTAATTCTATTTGTGTTCGTTATTGTAAATAACTTTGTAATAAATTATATAGGGTGCATCACATGCATACAATAAACTTCTATTATACGAGAAAAACGGCACATGATATAGTTAGTAAAAAATTTATTTACTTTTATACTTCAACTGGACCACTTTTATTGTTGGAACAGCTGTTGGTAGAAGTCTTATTCTTGGTTTTGAGGTTCGATCAAAACAATCTGCTTTAAAATGGCGTGAAAATAAAAAATTAAGATATTTTGGTTCACAATTTGTTTGTTACATGAACTCAAGCCATAACTTTGTTTTTTGAGAATCTTTAGGAAATCTGAAAATTGTCTACCTGGGATTAATTTATATAATTTGTAAATCTAGAATCTTTAAGAAATCTGAAAATTTTTTACTTGCAATCAATTTATAAATCTAAATTGAACAATAATTTATTCATTTTAACAACCACATAAATATCTTAAAATTGCATAAAAGAATTGTTTAAATACAAGTATGTATGCCCTATAAACCATGAGACTACGCCTATGAGCACAGTTGATCGCAGACGCACTTACCATGTTTGTTTACAAATTTAAAACATTAAAAATTTTAAAAATCTAATGTGGTCGAAAATTGAGAGAACAAAATGCTTGCTTATGAAATGTGGATTATTCCGTTCTACTTTTAGCTGTACTGCTATATCCACAAGACGAAGAACTGACCATATTGGCTTGTTTGTCTTTTAACGCGGAAAATTTTAAAATTAACAGTAATACTAAATAAATACTAAAACACTAAACACTTTTTAAAAATGTCTACAAAACATACGCTTGACAAAAGTTTAAATTAACACATAAAACACCCAAATTATTAACAAATTTTAATTAATAAAATTATAAATCAATTTTAAAAACCATTTATTATATCATGATGAGTCATCCATAGTACAACATGGCTACCACTTCCGTCAGATTGATTAGATTAACGCGGACATGGCATGCTCCTTCCTGACTATATATGTTCTAAGGGGTGGATGGCTTGACAAAGGCACAGTGTTACCTACTCAGACAATTTTTCATTAGACCTACAGGTTTCAAAGATTATTTCGGTAAATAGAAATTACATTTATGACTAATACTTTTGGCAATGGGGGACACATTTGAATGGGGTACAGTGACTCAAAATGGGAGACTGTCCCCCTTAATGGTGGACGAATGGTCACTTTAAGCAACAACCAATTTAATTTCTGCGCGGACGGTCGCATTTTTAACATTACACTACCACAATAATATATTCTGTAACAAGGTTGGAATGAAAATTCGACACAAGTGGAAAATTTTGAATACAAGCTTGAAGAACCACAAGTATCGTATTTTCATTCTAACAAAGTAACAGACTGTACACTGTAGTGTCTTCACGGCCACAGGCGCAGTAGGCGTTGAACATAGTAAAATGAAACTTTGAACAAAATTAAATATTTAGTCTAACTTATGTTAAGTAAGTTTTTATTTAAATTATTTGCATAATTTGTTAGTTCAGGAGGAATAATATCAAATTTCATATAAGAATTATTATATTCGCCAATTTTTGAATTTAGGTTCGACTTAACAAACGCCGGTTATCTTTATTCAGACAAATTAAAACTAAATGCTAATACGTCGCATAGAACTGTCAGTCATGAAATTCATGACTATCTATGATGCCTGCGTGATATTCACAGCCATTGGCCAGTGTTTCAGAATTTTCTTTCAATCTCAAGATTGAGAATGTTTTCTTTTTGTTATTATAAGTGGTTTCGGAAAAAGTACATTCAGAAGTGGCTGTGGAGAAATATGTTTTAAACCAGTATGTAAAAAGTACAACTAATGTAATGGGGTTACAAAGTTGAGATTTTACAAGATTCATCAAAAATACAGAATTTGCACTTGCTGTTCTCGCTCCAAGCCCATTCTTCTCCTATCTTTTCCATGGAATTTCGGGAGACCGCTCGAGACTAGCACAGACCACGATTGCCTAATCCGTTATCACCTTTAAGTATATCATCTTGTGGAACGGCAGCCTAGACCGCGATACAAAAACCAATTCGGCCATTATTTGTTTATATGCAAACAAAGGCTACCTTAGTTATTATTAAAGAGGGGGAATTTAGCTTTCATTTGAGATTTCATTGTAATAGGAGGTAACAATCGCCTGATTAAGCGCACTTCTTAATTGTGCGCACGTGGGATTATTTAGCCGCATGTTTTTAAATTTGGCTAGTGCCACTCTTTCACTTAAGATATATTTCTTTACTATAAAATACCCCTTTGAACAACCTTTAAATTATTGTTGTACCGATAGTATGTTACTTTGAAACGTGCGTAAAATCAAGGCACAATAATGTTGATCTGGTTTTTAATGATAATCTATCATTTTTTAAATTCAGATTATGATTATCTCCCTATTCGATTTTATACGGCCGACTCTAGACTATCAGGTATAGGCCGTTTGGGGGTGAAGAACGAGAAAAAATATTACTAAATCTTGAAAATAAAATTGCAGCCGGTCACTTGCAACAAGAGTTTCGAGCAGCACAGTACCGTGGTCTGCCATTGCCGATTCTCTGGATTGTGGATTACTTTGTGATTGATGGCGAAGGACAAAGATATGGAAGATTTTATAGAACTGCCGGATGGTATACGCATATTTTAATGTGGACTGCTTTTCCTTGTTGGTTATTAGCCGTTATTTTATTTAAATCGGGTAAGTTTCACAACCATTATTATAGAAAATCACAAACCTTTTTTTTTGTATAAAAATTGTGTTTTCTTCTATTTTTAGTTATATCGTACGGCGCATATTGTCTTGGAATATGTGGCGGACTTCAGTTACTTGGAAATCTCATTTATTTTGTAATTCAAAATCCCATACCATTGTCGATACCTTTTGAAAATCAGACTCTTACAACCAAATTTGGTTTCAACTACTGGTGCACGTTTGTACTGGGTAAGCTAATCATACGATTTTATTGAACGTTTGTACCAATGAACTGGGGTGGGGTAGAATGCATGTCAATAGGCTTGAGATGCGACTCTTTGGACGCAGCCATTTTATTATAAATACTCCCGAGTAATATGAACAATAAAAATGGCTGCGTCCATGGAGTATCACCTAGTTCTATTGAAACAACATGGACATTGGCATTCAACCCCACTCCAGTAACTCCAGTTAAGAAAAGTTCAGTTTGGATCTTTACATTAAATAAACACTACTTTTTGTTAATAAGGTTCCAAACGTAGATATAAATGCAGTATTGTTACCCTGTAGCCTGCGGCTATTATAGGTAACGTACGTTTAAAAGAAGAACTGCAATGTACGAATAAAAAAGAAAATAGAACAGTCTAGAAATGTCAGTCTGTATAAACAAATATATTTATTGTTCGAGAAGGTTAAAGGGAGCAGCTATACATGAAGTCACACTTCAGTTTTATGATATACGTTGTACGTAAATGTTGATATAGTTGTGAATTGTAAAAGTTTGAGTTGTAAATAAATTGAGCTAATCGAAAACCAGTGTAACATTGGTGACAGCGGTGGGATACAAAATAAAGGTTATTTAAGTATTCTGCTGATGGTAAATACTAGATCCACTGTGTACGAAACATACATGGATACATCAGGTCCCAGCTAGCACAGACACGTGATTTTCACGTGAAATACACGTCACATTTTACGTCGAAATCACCAATTTATGACGTGCTAGTGACGTGATTATGACGGCAATATGTCACAGATCAAAGACGTCATACAGCGACGTGATAAACACGTCACCAGATAACGTGTTTAGACGTCAAAAAAACACCATACTATTCATTTAAAAATGTTTAATTTGTAAAAAAATGTTTATAAAAAACGTTTTATTTAAAAAATGTTTAATAAAAATATGTTTTATATAAAAAAAGATAGGTTACTGCATAACATTTCTGAATTGAAACATAGTAAGTATACTAACCTGAACTATTACTAAATAAACATTACTTCTTAGAATATCTACTTAGAATGTATAAATTACAAAAGATTATATAGCAATGTCCAGATATTCAATAAATCATTCCGAATATACAGGCTTGAAGCAGCTTCAATGGTATCCTTACTAAATTTTCGTTTCACTAAAACAAAAATATAATAGTTATAACTACCACAAAATTACATTATTTAAATAAAATTTGAGCCAAAAAATAGAGTTAGCAATGACCGAGAAAGACAGAAATTGTTTTATATCATTAAGCTGTCACAAAAGTGATATATTTGATGGTTCACATCTTATTATTATATGCTAAACAAGATAAATAAAATCAGATCCGTCAGGAATGTGTATGTTTAAATTATCGTTATGTGTTTATATTAATGTCTACGTTAATAGTTAAAACAAAATTAGGCTAGCTACAGGCACCTTTACAATATAAAAAATCACTCACCTTCGGTAAAATATGTTCTATAAATAGGAAAGAGTCCAATTTTCTCCATTTTTAAGCTCTTGTTAAAAGATTCTTGTTGTTTATAAGAACCTCATTTCCTAGGATGTCGGCCACTTGGAACTTGAAGTGGTTTAATGATACTCCGGTGCCGTGCTTGTCGGCGTATTGAATTCCTATAAACATACTAAAAATAAACAATAATATCGCACTAAACTTCCTAACTACTTACCTTCCAAACACATAGAAAATCATACAATAAAAGAATGTTGCAAACACAAGTTACAGAAATAACAAAATGGCGTGAACCGTTAACCTTGCTTGGACAATGACATGACAGCTGACATTTCTAAACAGTGTTGACATAAAATTTCATTTAAAAATAAAAATTCCCAAAAATCCCTAGATTTAAAATGAGAATTATAAATTTATTATAAACACTAAAGATGCTTTTATTAATAAATAGAATGTAAAACAATAAAGGTATAGAATCGACGTGTACACATGCGCAGTTTAACGCTTCATTTCAGAACGTGACAAACTAGTCCATAAATAACGTCATAGTACGTCTTATTTTGGTGTCACAATGACCGCTAAATAAACGATGTTGTATAAATTACCTTCTATTTATTTAATAATGAATAACAAAAACTCTAAGTGCATTAATGACATAAATAGGTTTATTTTGTTCGCAACAACTATGTTTACGTGTCAAATTGGTCCGAAAATGACGTCATTATTACGTTACTTTTGCGTCAAAAAATCACATCGACGTATTTGACCAAAATTCAACGTGATTATGACGTGAAACGACGTCCGGTGCTAGCTGGGGTCCCTCAGCATGATTTTTGATGATAAAATAAGAGAGAGGAAGGCGAGAAGAGGAGAAAGAAAGGCGTAGAAAGAACGAATAAGAGGAAAAGGAAAGGCGAAAGAAGGACGAATAAGAGAAGAGAGAAACGCGAGTAAAGAAAAAGAAAGGCGCAGAAAAGTGGAAGAAGAGAAAAAGGAAATGCTCAGAAGGGACGCAGAAAAAGAGAAGGAGGAGAGGCGTAGAAGAGCAGAAGTGGAAATTATAAATGGCTTGCTAAACAATTCAAGAAAACTTCAGGCAAGACGGAGGTCAGCTGAACGGTCGAGTAGATCTCCTAGCATAACAACAGCAGCAGGAGAATATAAAAACTAATTTAGAGCAACAACAGCAGAATTTAAAAGTTAATTTAGATCAACAGCAAGAAAAGGCTAGAGAAGAGTTGGAAAGACAAATTAGAACTGAAATAGTGGCGTAAGAAAGAAACATTTGTAGCAATATTAAAGCTGAAAATACTATCTCGTCTTTATCTATGACCGAACCAAGCCACATTCTAACTTCTCTTTCTTACAACCATACCAGCAAGACTCTTAAGCAACCCACGTTTAACGATCAAACAACATGTAAAACGTATCGACTCCTATTTGAAGCTGCAGCTAGAACCAATGGCTGGGCCGAGAAAGAATTGGTGGCTTCATTGATAGTGTCGCTGCGAGGACAGGCAGCAACCGTTTTACAGTTACTTCCTCAAGAAGAACCCAATTATTCGTCTCTCGTCCAAGCTTTGGAGACAAGATATGGCCAGCAGCATTTAAAACAGTATTCCAAAGCCAGCTAAAGGTTGTAGTCAGAAACACAACGAGAATCTACAGGAATTCAAGGCCAATACAAAAATATTGCTGCATCTGGCCTATCCACAGGTATCTAAAGATTTCCTAAAACAAATCAGCATACAGGCATTCATTGATGGACTGCAGAATGTGGAAATGCAGCAAACTTTTAGGCTACAACAGCACTAGACGCTGAGTGAGACACTGATTGCAGTTCAGGAATACAAAGCAGCAAGATAATGTCTAGATCATCTCGCGCAAAATTGAGAGAAGTGAAGAGGCCACTAATACTATCCCTGCCAACCTACCCTCTCACAAATCTTAAACATCCTACAAAATATGCAACGAGATAGCCAAAATGAGAGCAGAAGATGGTTCAATGCGGAAGAGTCGGTGACCTTCAAAGAACTTGTAGAAGCAGGGCTCGCTCTACAAATAGAGAATATCGGGATGAGGCCAGAAATTCACCTAGATCAACGTGCCAAAGCTCCTCGTGAAGTTGAACAAGAAATAATACCAGCATATGCCTCCCGGAGAAGACATTCATCCTTACCTAGCCGACTTTCTAGCAACAATCAGGGAAACAAAAAGGTCGACACTATTTCAAACTTACACCTTAAATAAAAACGAACAAAATGTATTGGTATATCGACAACCAAGAAGGCACCTTCGCAAACGACGACCAACTCAAAGAAGCTTAGTTCTGGAAACAGCTACAGGGAACATCACTCCTGTTCTAGGCGAGATATTAGCAACCATACAGATTGGTAATATCCTAATAGAACACTTAATTCTAGTGGCCGATATTAAGGATCAGTGTGTCCTGGGTATGGACATTATGCAAAATAAATTTATCATCGACCTTCAAAATTAGATTTTGGTAATTGGGAACGAGGAAATTGTCTTAAATTCGGAGGAAAAGACTCAACCTATAAAGGTCCTAGTGAAAGAAGATATAGAATTCTGAAGCTGTCGTCTTGGCGAGGCTTAGCGAGAAATCACACGGCTGATATGTGGGCATTGTGGAAAGTGAAGAATTTGTGAGTGACGGAATTCTGGTAGCTAGATGTCTCGTTGACGTAGATCAACTAATTCCAGTAAGGGTTGCTAATTTATCGAAAAGACCATTCAAACAAAAGAAAGGACAAAAATAGGACTCTGCATACCGGTGGAAAACATAATAGTCAAGTGCAAAGACGGTTGTACGGGGAAAGCCACCATTAGTAACTTTATAAAACAGTTTTAAATAATGACCACCTCACAGCTGAAGAAGTAAGAAAAGTTAAGAAATATATTAATACAAACTGTGAAATTCTCGATACCGCAAATCTACGGGACGTACCAGTCTTATTCAGCATAGAATTTATACAGGCGATGCAAGACCAATGCAAGCACCTAAAAGACTACCATTTGCTAAACAGAAAGAAGTGGCAAATATGATACAGGACATGATGGATGCATCTGGTCCCTGGTGCTCACCTGTGGTTCTAGTAACTAAGAAAGTCGGATCTTCACATTTATGTGTAGACTATAGGAGATTAAATAAAATAATGCAAAAAGACAGCTACCCAATTCCTCGAATAGACGACACACTAAACACTCTATCAGGTGCAAAATGGTTTTCCACTCTAGACTTGAAGAGCGGATACTGGCAAGTGGAAGTACACCCTGACGATCGAGACAAAACAGCTCTTTTAACTAGCAGCGGATTATACCGATTCCAGGTTCTCCCGTGTGGTCTCTGTAATGCCTCAGCTACCTTTGAACGACTAATGGAAATGGTTTTGAAAGGATTAACCTGGAAAACTATACCTCGATAACAATCATGTCAAAAACTTTTAGTAAATTTGAGTGAAGTATTAGACTGATTAAAAAATGTCAATCTAAAGCTTAATCACAATAAATGTTCACTGTTCCAATCGAAAGCCTATTATTTGGGAGTTTACCAAAAACCAATGTAACATATTTTAAAGTCGTGTAGAATTTTTAAATTATTTACAAAATTTTATTTAAAAATGGTAACAGTACTCTTAATTGTATACTAAAAAACAAACGATTTTAAAGAAAAAAATATTATATTTCTTTTATCATTATTAGTAACCTGCGAAACCAACATGTAACTCAATAACGTTATAAATATAAAATTTTAAATATTTAACTCGAAAAAACCAAAAAAATGCATAACTTTCAGGAAAAAAACATCTCCGTCTAAGGGTGTTTTCACATTAGCCGGCACGACACTGGCAACGATGCCAGTGTAGTCGAAAAATATAAATAAATGTTTTCACCTTAGGTTTTCACACTCACCGACATGTTGATGCCGTATCGTAGCAAGTGACGACATGTCGGCTAGACGCAGTCACTCCAGTTGTACCGTCCAGATTTTTATTATTTTTAATCTACACTAGATCGATGTAAAAATGTCTAGATTTAAATACGATGGGATTTCTTACATGCACGTGGGTACACATTGTCCTGTTTAATCTGGATTATCTACTAACTTCTCAAAATAGAGTATAATAGTTAATCTATAAATATTTTTTTATAATTGAATGTGCCCATAACAACTGCCTTTGTTAATTTCGTTTTTGTTCCTCAAATATAACAAATACAATTTGTTGATTCTCCCTCGCTCGATCTGGCATTGCAATCGTGTGCTGTACCAGCTAATGTGAACATGTTCTTCCGGTATCGTGTCGGTGTCGTTGCTGTACCGATGTCGTGCCGGTGTCGGTATCGGTAGATGTGAAAACGCCCTAAAGGTGGAACCTGCGATTGATGAAGTCAGTTTGCTGATGTTTTTCAGATAGTTAAGCCGCTAACTTCGACAATTAAGTAGATAACATATTCCCTATATCAATTTTTTTCTAGTCGTTTCTTCTATTTGGGGTATTCCTTTATGGTTGACTATTATTGTTTAATGTTTAATACAATTTTACGTCATTACGTAGACATTATTGGATTTTGGGAGTAATTTAAAAAATTAATAATTTATTCGATATTTTTTAGTGAATAAGAGAAAATAATACACACTCTGTTTTAGGATTAATATGTGTCATACTATCTGCAGTTATACTGTTTATGGATTACAAATACGATCAACAGCTATACGATTTCTTTGGAGTTAATCCATTGCACAGTTACGATGAAGTAGTCTACTTGAGTAAGATATTAATTTGTTCAAATTATTCATAAATAAATTTAATATAGTACACGACTCTTTATGAAATTCTTCTTTTGTAATTATCTCTGTACCCCGATGCCTTGTCTAAATTGATAATTTAAAATGCAGTTTACAAAATAAAAAGTTTGTAATACCAGTTTAAAAACTTTAATTTTCAGCTAAAGAAGAAAGAATGCTGTTAAGGAGACATAAATCTGCCCCAGCTAACGATATTCCATTGGTTGAAATGGAAGAAGGGCCATCAAAAGACGAAGACCAGGATGATGAAGATATTGATTACGTACCCGTGTATCTAAAAAGAAAAACGATTGTGCTGGCTCCCAAAGTTAATCGGTCCATTAAGCCAAAAAGACATCAAGTTCCTTTAGCCCCACCGGTTGCGGTGGACACTTGATAATTTCAAGTACTATAATTCAGTTTTTTTACTTTGGTTTATTGAATATCATACCTTTGCGACATTTTATTTTCCAAGAAATATACCAAGAAATATACTTTCGAATATGGATATCGTTTTTTTAATTGCCCAATGTTTTTGAACATCTACATAAAAGAAAAAGTTTCATTATCCCCGAATTTAGTAAGTTTAATATTAAAATACAGCTATTAAAACCAAATGAGTAACGCAGCATCTTTTTTTAATTCCTCTTCTTAACTTGGTAACACTTTTCGAACAACCTTTTTTGTTTTTGCTTTTTTCCTTTTTGGGGCTTCTTTTTTATGGTTCTCAATTTCAGTCTTTTTCGGTATGTCTATGACAATGAGACTACGACCAAGTGGTCTAGGTTTTCTTTTATTTTTTAATAGACCTGCTTTTATTGAATCCCGAAACTGTTTGGGTGAAACAAACGACCTTTCAATCGCTTGAAGTGGTGACAAAATGTGTTTTATACCTAATGTTTGTTTAGTCAAGCCTGATAAATTTTCAAGTACTACATGTACAGCTGTTGATTCATTACGTGTTGATAATTGTTTTAAATATAATTTAGCTTTAGTTTAATTTGACGTATCGATTTGAGACGAATTCGCTAAATTAATTTGAGTTGAGGTTGATGGCAATGCGGTATCAGTTCCATCATAGATTATATTTAAGTATGGTTCTATTTTCCCGATCTGTAATGCAGCTGGGAAGAAAATCTTCGTCGGTATATACATTTCTATCAAATGGGTAAATTCCCGTTTTTTAAGGCTTTAATTATATTAAATTGAAGCAAAGCTAGTATATGGTTAGTGATATACCAGAATTTCCTAATAACCACAATTCATAGCTGCAACAACGCTTATTGCTTTTGTGAACTAATAAAACGCAGAGACATCATTTAAATAAAATTGAAAAATGCCGTGTGACAACTCATAATAAAGACATCCTTAAAATTTAAAACAGGGTGTCTCATTAAGATTCGCTGATCAAAATAAGTCTAATAAACGAAATATTCTTAGTGGTTCCGAAATACAGGGTGTTAAAGTTTAAAATCTAAAAAATATCATTTTTTTTACTTCTCATTGTAATGAATTTTATTAAATTCGGTAAAAATACACCTATCAGCAAAACACTAAAAATAAACTTTACCAGTGGCGCATGCATAAGTAACTATTTCATCCACTCTAAATTTTACGTCACTATCCAAAAACTTATTTGGACTATACTTCTGCATTTTTTTTTAAATACCTCATGTACTCTTGTTGGAAACTCATAAAGTGAATGGGTTTCGAGATATTCGTATTCAAAGGTGGATATTCTTCATTTTAATTTTGTAATTATAATTTTAAGCTATTGCATAGCTTTTATCGCGGGCTTTGAGTGCGGCGACCGAATCAAGAAATTCCGTAACGACCGTAACGAAAAGAAAAACACCCCCACTCCGACTGACACAGCAGTGCGGCGTTAAACAATATTAAGAGCGATATCCATGGTTAGAAACTGGCTTAAAACGACTTCAAGGTTCTCTTTCTCAGTTTTAAATATTTTTTTATAAAATTTGGTATGCCTACTAAGCAAATGATAGAGAACCCCGCTGTAGAGCCCGAATTCAGATAAACTTATTATTTAATTATTTCTATACAAATTATGAAAATTATTGCAAAAAGGAGTCTTTACCGGGAATTGTTATACAAAAATCAACTAATTCTTTCCAATACACTTTTTTGTCTAAAGCGTATATTTTTTGAAAACCTTGAATTACGAAATCTGAGAAAATCTGTCAAGATTCGAATCCATATTAATTGATTTGGCAACAAAGCGGCGGACGTTGGCGGTGCATGCAGTACCGGAAAATTAGGATAAAAGTATTTATGTAGTCATTTAAGTCGCTTATAATGAAATTATTAAAAAACTATATTCTTTTTAGTTCAAGTGTAGGTGTTTTCGTTTCGTATTTAGTTAATGTGTTTATATGAGCTTTTATGTGTAAGTTGAGTTATAATAATTTGTGGTAAAAATGGGAAAACTTTCGTAAATGCCGAAAATATTTCCGTTTAGAAGGAAATCTATAATATCGTGCTAGATTACTTATAAAAAGACAAACACTAGCACCTCTTATTCCAGTCCACTTCAGTTCCTGCCCTTCTACCCATAAAAGTCAAAATATATGGGAAATTAATATACTAAGTATTGAATAGAAAAAGAACTTTTAGCTTTAAAGCAATATTCACAAATTTAAGGCGGATGTCCAACAAATGTGGTTTATTTGTGGATGCTGAATATGGTTTTTTAGGATCCGACGGTTTATTAGGAACCGACAGTATTATCGAAATTAAATATCTTGCCACTGCTTCAAAACTGACTCCAGAAAAAGCAATGGTTGACAACATAATAAAATTTGCAATTATTAATGATAATGGCAAAATGCAATAATTGTTCAGGGGCAACTTCACGTAACTAAACGAAATATTTGTTTTTTTATTATTTTGATACCTTTAAGTATGTTAGTAGAAAAAATAAAAACAGATGAAAGATTTTGGTGTATATGAAAAACAAACTAAAGCAATTTTATTTAGACTGTATACTACCCGAGATCTTAGATCCACGTTTCACTAGAGGTTTAAAAATTAGAAATCCGAGTAGAAATCCGACCAATAATCAATAAAAATTATTATTTTTATTTCTTCTTTAATAATAAATCATTTTACTCAATGTTATTTTTATATGTATATTTTTAGTACTAGAAAACAATTTTTCCTATACCCAAATGGATATTAGCGTATCTACGTACAGAATACAAAACGAAAAAATATGCTATTGCGTAAAATGAGTTATACTTGTGTAGAATCGATAAATAATAGCATTTCTAGTTTTATTTGATCTATATTTAGAAATAAATATTTATAAATTTTTGGGGGGTGGGTGGCTCAGTGGTAGAGTCTCTGCCTGTGGATCCAAGGGTCCCAGGTTCGAATCCCACCGTTGGCCGGGATTTTTTCATTTAATTTAATTATTTAAAATTAATTCTGATGCCTTTGGTAGGATTCCCCACTCGACCATTCACTGTTGGGTTCTAATTAACAGTGCTGTTTCTAAAGTGGCGCTGGGAAACAGTAACAAAGCCTACACAGAACACGAGGCTAATAACTTTAGCAGTTGATACCGATGACACCAAATTAAAAAAAAATTATAAATTTTAATAAAACTATATGAAATCAATTTAATTTATATTCACTCTTGCTACACAAACTACTATTTTCTACATCCACATGGAAATGCTTTTTTCTATACTCACATGAATATTAGCTAATCTACGCACATACTACAAAACAAAAAAGTATGCCATTGCGTTCAACTGAACGAATAAATTTCATATTTATTCTACCTACTAAGAATACTGCAAAACAGTTAAATCCACCAATTAGATTATATTTTGGTCACCCGGCTACTATTATTTTTAATTTAAATTTTATGTAACAATTCTGTCAAACTAACTGTCAGTATATTTTTGAATTATTGAGATAAAATGGCAAGTGTGACGATGGCGTGAGGACACGGAGTTTATCTCCAAGCGAGAGGCCCGAGTTCAAATCAGGGCTGGGGACTAATTAAATTAAATCTTTTTGTATTTTTATTTTATAAATTAGTAAAAGTCTTATATTATTTTAAAATTATTTATTTTGTCTTAATAAAATACTTTTGAAAATTTGTAGAATTTCGTTAGTGTGTCGTAGAAAAAATATACTATACAACTCGAGTGGATTGTCCATATCGCACTCAGACGATTAAGCACTCCCTCTACGGCGTCGTTCTTAAACTTCGTCTTCGTGCAATATGGCCATCATATCCAATTTTGTTGCACAAACTACTATTCACGCACAGACTACAAAACGAAAAAATATATTATTGCGTTCAACTCAACGAATATATTTCATATCCGTTCTAGGTAGTGAGAACACTGCAAAAAAATTAAATCCACCAATCACAGTTTATATATTGGACACCCAACTACTATTATTTTTAAAATTTTAAATAAGTGACAATTCTGTCAAACTAATTGTCAGTATATTTTTTAGGTATTGAAATTAAACATACATTAAAATGAGTTAATTTTTGTGTAGAATCCATAAATAATTTTAATTTATTTTTATTTGGACCACATTTTAAAAAATCTTAAATTTGAATCAAACTACCTATATGAAACTAATTTAATTTCTACTATTAGAACTAAAATTTTAAATGTGGAGGTGAAAATGAGGATACGGCATCTGTCTTTCAGACTAGAGGCCCGAGTTCAAATCTGGGCTGGGGACTAATTAAATTAAATATTTTTTCATGTTTATTTTATTTCACAAATTAGTGAAGTCATAAATTATTTTAAAATTAGTTATTTTCTCTTTTCCTAAAATAAATTTGTAGATTTTCGTTAGTGGGTCGTAGAAAAAAATATACTGTACAACTCCAGTGGATTGTCCACTGTTGTTGCACAAACTAGTATCAAATGGATTATTATTTAAAAAACGTGTTTTTATACAGGGGATTTGTAAATAAGTACGGAAGATTTTTACAAATTGTTATCAAAGTTATTTTGTTAAAAAAAGTTCCTATAAAAGTAGGTCAAAACATACTTCGTTTCCGGGATACAGAATGTTTAAATTTTAATTTAATAAATTTTATTAATTATTTCAAATAGTTTTAAAGATATTTACTCTAAATTTGTAAAAAAAACTTTGAAGAGACAAATAAGTATTTTTTGGGGTGTTCCAAATATTTCTACTTGTACCAGTGGGTTTGTTTTTTAATAAAAAAAATACTGCGCCACTGACTTTTTCGATCTATATTTTTTTTTATAAAATAACTTCGGCAAACATTCCCTAAAATCATTCACACTTACCAACAAACACCCTGTACATAAGAAAATGTAGAACTAGGTACTTTTTAGATATTTTTCCGAAATAATCATAGAAAATACATAT